ACACTATTATTACACTATCTTGCATAATTTTTACTCTTATATACTCATATTTTATTTACCCTTTGCCTTTCCTGATTAGGACATTCCCCCCAATTTAAAAAAACAATATTTGAAAATATTCCTACCAGTCTCTCCAAAAGTCAAAAAATACAGACAAAAGAACGAAAATTCATCTGGCCCTAGACACAAGTTGTACAACATGTTCAGAAACTTAACCGTGGGTCTGCTTTTCATCTGGGTCCTTGTAAATCCACCTGGGAATGATCCTGACAGAGTAGGGTGGGGTGAGGCTGAAATCAGAGCCTGGTCTTTCTGATGGGATTCTGTATCCTAAAATATCAAGTCAGCATTTCTCCTCAGTTTGGGGTGAGGTCTCACTTGCTCAGATTATGCTGTAAAATAAACAGTATAACATCAACCCTACGATCATGGAGCCTGTCCCCTGAGTATATGAGTGAGCGCACAGTCACGACACCACTGGCTCCATTCCAACACTGGCCAGGTGAATGATTTTATGTGGATGCTTTTATAGACACTGGGTGACATCTCTTTTATACGGTGGCAATAAAGGCGTCGTAATTGCTGCTACCTTGTTTAGTAGTGTTTCTCGTCTTTACTACATCATTAAACAATGCAGCACAACCAAAATTCTACTACCAAGTTTGCTGTACTAAATATAATGTAGTATCCTGGATTGGATCCTGGAACAGCAAAAAGACATTAGTGCAGAAACGAGTGGAATTCAAATATCTCCATTCCAGCTAAAAATAGTGTACTCATATTGATCTCTTCGTTTTCACAGGTGTGCCTCGTAACGTAAGATGTGGAATATACGGAGCTCTGTGAACTCTCTACATATTTTCTGTAAATATGAAATTATTTCAAAATTAAAATTTTATTTCAAAAAATAAGTGTGCTGCCTGGGCCAGGTAGCTCAGTTGGTTAGTGCATCATCCCGATAAACCAAGGTTGCAGGTTCGATCTCAGGGCAAGGCACATACAAGAATCCACCAATGAATGCGTAAGTGGAACAACAAATCTCTCTCTCTCTCTCTCTCTCTCTCTCTCTTTCTCTCATCAATCAATAAAGTTTAAAGTGTGCTATTCACACAAAGGAGTTGAGAAACGTTGATGTAGGTTGTATCCTTGTGTCCATAGTCCCTCACTCACATCTCCCATCCTTGAGACTGAGAGGACCTGTATTTACTCTGCACTCTCAAAGCGGGTGGGTGATGTCATTGGCAGGCAGGGAGGCTGGGTGGGGGAGACAGAGTCCATTCATAGCACTTGAGGACAGAGTGTGCCTTCAAAAGCAAACTATAATTACACAGAAGCCAAGGAGCATTTGCAGAAAATCACTATCTCATCTGAATCTACATCCTGTTCATCAAAGAGGTCAAGGCCCTTTTGATTATCAGACTAAATATTTTTAGGCAATGTCACTGAATGCCTGGTAAGAACATGAACAGCATTGGCTGAAGAAAAATCCATCTTCAGATAAAGAGGCAAGTCCTGTCTATCACAGGAAAAGTCAACCATAGGAAATTTATTAAAAAAGGCTGGCAAAAATGTCCCCAAATTGAAGTTTTCTCTTCCCTAGTTGACTTCACCCTAGTCCTTCTCCACTCCCCACACCTTCTAAATATCCAGACTTCTACAGTGACTTTTTTTTAAAATATATTTTATTGATTTTTTACAGAGAGGAAGGGAGAGAGATAGAGAGCTAGAAACATCAATGAGAGAGAAACATTGATCAGTTGCCTCCTGCACATCACCTACTGGGGATGTGCCCGCAACCCAGGTACATGCCCTTGACCGGAATCGAACCCGGGACCTTTCAGTCCGCAGGCCGACGCTCTATCCACTGAGCCAAACCGGTTTCAGCTACAGTGACTTTTGATTCTCTTAGCACTTGGCCCAAACTTAAGGGAAAGACCAGAAAGTGATTTGGCATTAGTATTAAGAAGATGAGGAGAAATAGATGGAGATGATTACATATTCCCAGCAATGTTGAGTGAGTGATTGAATAGAAATGAAAATATTTAAGTTGGGACTATTGAGTTACAGTCAAATCTGGTAACTTGGATGCTTAGTGAAGAACACCTTGAAAGTAGCATGATGTGTCCCCTTCTTGGTGTATCACAAGCAGACATATCTTTCTTGCCATTTTTGTAATAGTAAATCTCTGTAGCTTCTATAATGTCCAAAAAAATCCTTTTATAATCAATAAATCCATTCTAATTCTGGCACCAAGAGCTGGTCTTACTCTCCAGTTATCAGAATAAGTTTGTTCTCTCCTAGTTCTCTCTATGATGCAAAGTGAGCTCGGGTTAGTGGTTAGCTTCTTGAACCCCTAATAACCGATAAATATAACTCATCTATTCCTATCCTCTTAATGAACTAAAAAATCATTCCTTCTTCTGAACATGCAAATTGTTTCCTTTTTCTATCATATGTAAATAGCTTCTATAAGTCAATAAAAAGATAAAGGCATTATAAGAAAACCTATCATTACTACCAACTACTGGATTAGTTATATAAATTAAACTTGTTAATGTAAATCTGTGGGAAAGCCATATGCATCTTATTTTCCAAATAGTCCCTGGAAGTCTAGGAAATAAGGATTGAATCAACCCAGCAGATTTATATGAAATTAACATTGGTGGTAATTCTTGTGAGAATGCAATGTTTGTGACATTATACCGGAAAGTCTCCCCTATGTTCTACCCTGTAGAATATTACAAGACACATTCTTTTCTTAGTAGAAAAGATCACTGATTACTGAGACATAAATATAGACTAAAAGCAAGAATTATAAATAAACCAAGTTAGCCTGTTATAAGAAATTTTTTAATTACTCAGTGCCTAGACACATTTCTAAGCAATCATTTATTTCAGTGCAACTTTAAAATAAAAGTCCCTTATTAAGCAAGATTCATTGATGTGTCCTGCCCTTCACTTAATGGAATGATGAAATGTGGATGACTTCAGTAAGTTTGCTATTTCATGTGAGTGCTGATTCAAAAATCATCCTAAAGATTGAAATGTCCTATGAGAAACTTGTTAACAGTCACCTTTTACACCCAGGTACTCAGCCCCATTTCAGCTCTTTCTACGCCATGATCACGTTCACCCACGTATGAAGTTCAGGATCCACAGACACGTAGGTTCAACTTATTTCCTGTGCCATCTAAAAGGGATGCTTTCATTTCCATCGAACCCAGAATTGGACACAGCAATTGCCATGTCAGAGTTTGTGCAATATAACATATCTTTTACGGCTGTGAGATGTGATCATAAAACTTCCAGCTGCTGGTGTATTTTGCTCTAAATTGTGGCTTTTCTCATACCATTTTATGACCTGATTCATGAATAAATAATGTTGAATTATTTAAAACAATGAAACCTAAGACATTCTACTTGGTACCCATTTTCAAACCGTGTAAACATTGATTTTGTGAATGTACTGTAACATTTCCAAGGCCATGAAAAATTATCACCATGCAGAACCAGAGAATTCACCTCACCTATGTCAAATTCCACAGATGTATTCCTCTACACATCAAGAATAAAAATTTGTAACCAAACAGTCCTAAATTATGATTCAACAAATAAAACACCAATGCAGCTCCTAGCAGAGCTTCAGCGAAGGCAGCCCAGACTATAACATTTTTAATGACAGCCAATGAAGGAAAAATACCACATGATCTCACTCATTCATGGATAATAAAGACCATTATAAACTTTTGAGCAATAATAGATACAGAGGCAGAGCTGCCTCAAACTGATTGTCAAACTGCAGTGGGAAGGCCAGAGAGGGTTGGGGGGCAGAAGGGAGGGGAGTAAGAGATCAACCGAAGGACTTGTATGCATGCGGGGTAGGGGGGCATAGGATTGTCAAGGGCGGGGAAGAAAAAAAAGGACACATATGTAATACCCTTTGTAATACTTTAAGCAATAAAAAAAAAAGATTTTCAATGACAGAACCATTTCTGTTTTTAAGAACCTCCAGCCACAACTAAATGCATCCTTTAAATTGTCTGGCTTTTATTTTAAACCAAAGCCTCTGCATTACTTTAATGTGTGTGTGGTGGTGGGGGAGGGGGGGGTACTTAAAAGCATAATTGCTAGGAATAACCATGATAGTACACTATTGTCAAAAAATTAAACAATCCTATTTTTCCCCACTCCCATTAGTCAGTGTATCAAATCCATAATGTATGTTGTATATACAGACCTTTGAGAGGGAAGAATATCTTTAGGAGCATACCAAGATCCCCAAGTAGGCTCCATCCGCTAAAGAATAAAACACAATAACAAATGCAGCTTTTCTTGTCTTGAAAGAACAACAGAATGGAATTTGCTACTGTTGAATCACACATACACACCCCTAAACAACATAACTACAACTCCCAGCACACAAATGTATATGAGCATGCACACACGCAAACACACACACACACAAAGTAGTTTGCGGGTTATTTTTATGAAGCTCTAGTTTTATGAAAAATAGATCTAATTCTTCTGAACTAGTATCTGTTCATTGAAAACAGTATAAAACCTAAAAGTCACAACTGGTCTACCTTAGGAGGCAGACAAATAAGCAAATGGACCATCGCTTAGCAAATTACCCAGGGATTTTAACAGAAGATGAACCAACAAAATGGGTCATTGGCTAACAGATTAACTACCTAAGATGAGCCAGCCAAGTAATCCATTGGTTAACTAAGTACCCAACCAAGATGAGCCCACCAAGTGGTCTATTAATTAACAGAAGAACCAAGCCTGAGAACTCAACCAAGTGAATCACTCTTTCACAGAGAAACAAACGAAGTAAACTCTGATGATGCCACACACAGTTTCATTCAGGAGAGATGAAATAAAACTTCTAACTAATCAACGAAGAGGAGCTCTTAATGGACCCAAACACACACCAGGAAACCTGGAAGGGTGACCACTGCCTTGGTCACCATGGGGGACTGGAAATGGATCACGCAGCGCTACTTACGAAGATTATTTATGGGGGTTCTAGTATCCATGTTCTCATAATGCTGCACGTGGACCACGATGTTGAGGTCTCTCTCCATGTGGTCGGTGTTGCAGTGGCCCTGCGGCCTCATGACATCTGCAAGGGCCCTGAAAGAGGAGAGAATTGAAGTCTGTTCATTCAAAATACAACAATTGGCATCTGCTGTGCTCTGAGCGCTGTGCTTGCGAACAGAAGACAAGGTCCCTCACTGCATGGAGCCACCATTCTGGTTAGAGATGGGGGTGGGGGGAGAGAGACACAAGTAAGTAAATAAGAGCAGTGCAATTAGAGGGTACATAGGACTTCATGCAGAATGGCTCACGTGCTTCCCACAACAGCTGTGTAATGGCAGTATCAGCTACTTCACAACGTTGTTGAGAGGACTAAATGATGAATATATGTAATATATCTGCACCCCATAGATTGAGTCTCCCCTTATATCTAATACTAGATGCCAACACTTCATGTACAGCAATGGCCCACTATTAGTAACAAATAACATTTATTGAGTACTGACTATAAGCCAGGCACCATGCTAATCACTTTACATGCCTTAATTCAACTAAGCAGCCTATAAACACCTTATAAGGATCATTATTCCTTCATTGTAGATAAGTAAATCAAGGCTCAGAGAGGTGAATTAACTTGCTCAAGGTCACACAGCCAGTAAGTTGTAGCACAGGGATTTGAACGAGAATCTGTATTCACAGCCCTGTACACTGTGTGCATGGGCTTTCCTGCAGCTGTGAAGGATGTAGTGTAATCTGCACACACTCCATGCTGGTGCCCCTCTTAATCAGTAGTCGGGGATGGGGAGAAAACAGAGAACCTGGGGCCCCAGCAATGTTTCAGGTGCCTTCCACTTCCCATTGTCCCATTGCTCCAAGGGCAACCATTCCCCCAAGGTCGCAAAATGTCAGATGTGAGAGAGACACAGGTCAACACAGCAAGAGTCCCACATGAATTAGAGGAAAAGATGGAGTCTGCTAGGAAACAAGAACAATAGCAATAGCTCCATTCATTCATTCAGTCATTCACCCAACACATATTGATTGCCCTCTCTGTGCCAGGCACTAACCAAGGCTCTGGGGAAACAGCAGCATACAAGAAAGACAAGATCCCTGCCTTCTGGTGCTTATTTTCCAGGGGATCGAATACAAACATATGTGTTAAATAAATATACACGGGCTACAAAAATTAAATAAATAAAAGTATAACATGATCAAGAGAAACTGGTGCTTGGCGGCATTATTCACAATGGCCCAAAAACAGAGACAACCCAAATCAAGTGATGAATGACTAAGCAAGATGGGTTATATGGGGTGGAATATTATTCAGCCATGAAAAAGGAATAAAGTACTGATATCTGCAACAACATGAATGAAACTTGGAAACATTATACTCAAGTGAGAGAAGCCAGACACAAAAAGCCACATATTGTATAATTTCATTTATGTGAAATGTTCAGAATAAGCAAATCTATAGACAGAGAGTTTGGTGGTTGCCAGGAGATGAGGGAGAGAGGACTGGGGAGTGACTGTTCTATATGGAGTTTCTGTTTGGAGTAATAAAAGGTTCAGGAATGTGAGAGTTGTGATGGTTAGATATGAAAAAGCACTAAATTGTACAAATTAAAATGGTTAAGATGGTGGATTTTATGGGACATGGGAAGTGACTGCTAATAAGTGAGGGGTTTCTTTTTAGGTTGATGAAAATGTTCTAGAATTAGATAGTGGTGATGTTTCCTCAACTTTGTGAATATGCTAAAAACCACTGAATTGCACACTTTTTAAAAAAACATTCTAAATAAACTGAGAGGAAGAGAGAGAGAGAGAGAGAGAGAGAGAGAGAGAGAGAGATGAGGTGACCAGGAAAAGACTTTCTGAGGAGGTAACATTTGAGTTGAGCCCTGAATGGTGCAAAGGAGTTGGTCACAAAAAGATTCAAATAAAAAACATTCCAGGCAGAGGGAGCAGCAAACACAAAGGCCCTGAGACAGGAAAGAGTTCGGTTACCTAAGGAACAAACAAGGTCAACAAACAAGGTAGTGGCAAACAAGGGGGAGAGTATTACAAGGTGAGGATGATTAAATCCACTTTACAGAATTAAAAAAAACTGCCCAAGTTAACCCAGCTAATCATCAGCGGACTAGGATGCAAATCTGAGTGTCTTGAAATCAGAGTGCAGGCCCTTTCTCACCTCTGTGCAGTTGCCAGGATCTGAAATGGAAAGGGGCTGCAGCGTAGGAACCTTTGAGGCAAAGAGCAGATGTCTCCCAAACCTAATTTGCCCTTTTCACTTCTAAACAGGTTCATCATGAGCTTCAGGGGAATTCTGTACCCTTCTGGAATTGAATGGAAATTTTATGTGTGCATTGTTCTGGAACAAGAAGCCATCGCTTTCACCAGATTCCCTAAAGAGTCCCCCACCTCCACCCCAGAATTCCAAGGTACTCAGCCTTTCAAGAGGATAGCAAAGTCATAATCAGGACAGGTACCGTGAACTTGGCCATCTGCAGATCCCCTGGGCTTCTCCTGAAAGCCAAAACTCATGAAAATCCAGCCCCAGGGACACTTTTCCCCAAGGCAGCCCTTCCCAGAGCATGCAGCAGAGATAATGATTCTTAAAGATCTCCCTGTCCTGGACAAGGAGTCTTCAAGGCATGGTTCCCTCACTCCAGGGTCCAGGGACTGCAGAAAATGATTTGGCATGGGGGGAGGAAATATGAGAATCTCTATATATGGTCTTTGAAATGAGAAATCTATTTGGTAAGTTATTAAAAATGAGAAATCCATTTGATATGTGTGTTGATGCTGGTGCCCTCCATTGGAATGCTCACATCAGGTGGTGAGAATCAGGAATCTTGGACCAAATGAGGCAAACGCCTGTATTGCAGTTTGTGCACCTCTAAAGGGGATATGCAGATAATTATCTAGTTTTTAAATGTTTTTTTTTATTGATTTCAGAAAGAGGAAGGGAGAGAACGAGAGGGGTAGAAACATCAATGATAAGAGAGAATCACTGACCGGCTGCCTCCTGCATACCCCCTAGTAGGGATCGAGCCCAAAACCCAGGCATATGCCCTGACCTGAAGTCAAACAGTGACCTCCTGGTTCACAGATTGACATTGACGCTCAACCATGGAGCCACACCAGCCGGGCCAAATTATATAGTTTTAACTATGCTAACCATCACTAAGGAGTCATGTCGCTTTAAAATATCCCTCTCAACAAAACCGAAGCCTGAAAAAAATACTGATAAAGCAACGTACAAGAAAATAATAGAGTTGACTCTTCCCCGCTTGTCAACAGCTTCTCACAGGGTTAAAATAATGATGGTCTGTTCAGATCAAAATGAAGTCAGCCCAAAATAATTAAAACTCTCATGAGGAATCATCAAAATATGGATTTATTTATTAGTGATGAACTTCATCCTCCATGTGTATCATGCTTTCAGATCATAGCTAAAGACTGCAGGAAGTCATCATGATTAGTGACAAATTTAAAATTATTTATTTCACCTTCAGCTCATTTTAAAGTCTCTGTCCTTTGTATGCTTTATAATGTACCTAATAATTGTTCACTGGAAGGTGTATAGATAAAACAAATGTGGCATATATTGAGATGCATGCTTTTAAAAGCATGTTATAAATAGGGATGTGTCAAAAAATTTAATGAATTAGACAATGGCAGGGACCAACCATGTGCTACAAGCCAAATGCCCAAACATTTGGCAATTATTTGTGGCTTAGAGTCTGGGTGCTTTTCAAACTTAAATGTGCATTAGTATTACCTAGGGATCTTGTTCAAATGCAGATTATGTTTCAATAAGTCCAAGGCAGGATCTGAGATTCTGCTCAGGCTCCCAGGTAATGGAGATGCTACCGGTCCACAGGTCACACTCTGAGTAGCAAGATCCTAAAGGTACTGTAGTGGTAAATTTTATGGGTCAACATAACTGGGCCATGGGGTGCCCAAATATTTGGTCAAACTTTATTCTGGATATGTCTGAGAGTGTGCCTTTGAATGAGATTAACATTTAAATTGGTAGAGTGAGTCAAGCAGATTGCCCTCCATAATGTAGGTCTGCCTTACCCAATCAGTTGAAGGCATGAATAGAACAAAAGGCTGGCCCTACAGAGTAAGAGAGAATGTTCCCATCTCATGACCTTCAAATTGAGACGTAGGCTCCTCCTGGGACTACAGCAGCCTGCTGGCCTTCAGACTCAAACCGTTGGGGACCTTGGCTCTTCAGATTTTGGACTTTTCAATGGCAATTCCATATAAGAAATCTCTTTATGTGTAACTACTATAGGTTCTGTTTCTCTGGAGAACCCTGGCTAATACAGGGGAGAAACTACTACAGAACAATTATGTTGAAATATTACCATTTTTGAGGGCAAAGTTAGTTGAATATTGGCAATTTCATGAGGTTCAACTTAGTATCAATTTACTTGTAGATTTACTTGTGTGTGATCTGTCTCCTGCCATTTGACTGTTAGCTCTGTGGGGGCAGGGATTGTGTCTGTACTGTTAACTATTCTATGATAGCTCTCAACACAGTGGTGTGTATACCATTAGTACTCAATAAATACTACTGAATGAATATATGAATAAGCAAATGAATGAATGAATGAATGAGAACTACTTTCTTATCTTATATAATAAAACCCTAATATGCAAATCAACTGAATGGCAGAACGACCGGTCACTATGATGCGAACTGATAACCAGGGGACAGATACTCAACACAGGAGCTGCCCCCTGGTGGTCAGTGGGCTCCCACAGGGGGAGCACAGCTCAGCCAGAAGCCGGGTTCATGGGTGGTGAGCACAGCAGTGGTGGCGGGAGTTTCTCCTGCCTCTGCTGCAGGCGACGGTAAGGACCAAGGGGTCCCAGACTGTGAGAGGGCACAGGCTAGGCCAGGGATGGGCAAACTTTTTGACTCGAGGGCCACAATGGGTTCTTAAACTGGACCGGAGGGCCGGAACAAAAGCATGGATGGAGTGTTTGTGTGAACTAATATAAATTCAAAGTAAACATCATTACATAAAAGGGTATGGTCTTTTTTTTTTTTTTAGTTTTATTCGTTTCAAGCGGGCCATAGT